TTTTTTTGGTTCCTCCGGCCGATACCGCAACGAATTAAATTAAAAGCTCTTTTCACTTGTCATCCGCTGATGAATTTGGTATTTAGGCTTGCTCACTCGTCAGTTATGATTTTTGGAGGTAGCTGTTTTGACAGCACATCAGCAAGCAGTAATGCGTTTCGGTTTGAAGGGTAGGGCAGCCGTTGTAACTATACTTGAGATCTTAGAACTTATACCTCAAGGTGGGTGGCGCATTCACGTTGAAGATGTCTATGGGCTCCAGTAACCACTTAACACCAGGTGGGCTGTGAGCCCGTCCATCCATCTAAGAAATAACAAAAAAAAAGCACTCACCCGATTCGTGTTTTGCTTCCCTCCCTATTTTTTAATGAAGTTAATTTAGCTTTAGCAGGAAAAAGTGACTTCTTTATTATAGCATTAAAAAAAAACTTGAAATTTAATTTGATTATTGCTCATCGTTCTATTCACCACAGTTCTTGTTTTTCTGTTTTGAGGGGAACATATCCGAATAAAGAAATCATGGGCTCGTGAATGTAATCAGTACAAATGCGATCCAAGATAGTGGCATCGACTCCGGTCAATATTTTATCACGCACTTTATCCTGATAAATGTAACCCGACCTTTGAGTTATTTTTAGGGGATTAGTTTCGGTACAATTTTTGGAGTATTTTAAGGCCATTCAAAATTTCCATTCAAAGATAACAACGTTTCACTAATATGCAATTAATTTCTTAATGAACTTTGCTGTAAGGATAATATTGAAATCCCTTTTTTAAACTAAGGTGAGTCCCTGGCATTGCTAGTGTCAATAAGCGATTGTGACTTTTTACCATCAGGTGAACGTGCGGCCAGGCGGGCATTACTTAAGCAATAAAAAAAATAACTCTCAGTACTGTAGATTTGGTTTTATCAATCTATAATTTTATTTATTTGATTTAATAATTTCCAAAGCACTTGATCCCAAGTCCATTGGACCGATTGTTTTCATTGCAGCTTTAATAATACCTAGCATGTTTGTCCTCGGCGTCGTGTCGTGAAAGTAAGTCGGGACCCCGATTCTGTTGCTCTCCCCTCAGCTAGCGATGATTTATGTCCTCCCGACGACACATGCAGCGCTGCGCTCTGCGCTTACTAAAGCTCTGCGATTTCGTTTGGGCTGGACAAACAAACGGTAAAAACGCAACGGGTGATACGCGTTTCATCACGTTCAGTTTTATCGGTTTTTTCGATTGTCATATGTACGTTTCCTGTTTAATATTTATTGAAACAAAAGAGGTTAGGTTTTATGAAATACTATATTTATTTTTATAGCTATTTGGGGGCAAACAGAAAACACAATGTGAATAACCTAAATCACATCGCGAATCGTAGACATAATTACTAAATGCTGGTGGTAGGACCTCATGTGAGTCCGCACGGGTAGGTACCCCCACCGCGCCTATTTCGGCCGTGAAGCAGTAATGCGTTTCGGCTTGAAGGGTGGGGCAGCCGTTGTAACTATACTGAGACCTTACAACTTATATCTCAAGATGGGTGGCGGCATTTACGTTGTAAATGTCTATGGGCTCCAGTAACCACTTAACACCAGGTGGGCTGTGAGCTCGTCCACCCATCAAAGCAATAAAAAAAACATTCGAAAGGTCCGAAATAATATAATGAAAATAAAAAACATGAGATTAAACAGTAAAAATAGTGTTAATGATATTACTACTACTTATTGTAGGATGAAGCAGAAGCAGTACACGCTAATAGTCAATAGACTATGGCCGTCTTAGATGTCATCGTGGCCTAATTAATAAGGCGTTCGGTGTATTATCGTGTGACGCGATTATTTTTGGTTTAAACCTTACTAGTAGTAAGTCTTATTTTGCTAATAATTAAACCGCTAAAAACCGCTTAAAGATATAAATTTGTGTGACTATAGGCACTGATAACAAGCTCGTAGTTAATAAATATGGTACTACCTATATTTTGAAGAATGGGACATTCGTTTTAAATTATAAATTTGGAATTAGACCTCACGTCTCATGGGCAGTGGGTGCCATTATTAATATTTATGTATATTCTCCGAAAATTGCTTAACATCGCGTGGGCCTTGAACATTTTTCAATCGATCTAGTGCTTTTTTAGTTTTTTTCTGTGGGAATCTAACGGCCTACATATAAATCAAAAAATTTAAATCATAATTTCGAGTGAACGAACCCTGCAGAAAGTTCAATTCTAAAGTCGAGATTTTGCGAACGATCAATTCATCAACGGGACACATCATTCAACATTTAACCACTTGCGTCTACTATGTTTCATAATGTCAACAAGTCATTGTTTTTGTCTAAAAAGGCAGTCAAGGATCTCCTGATGGTGGTCACTCTCGTAGCACGCAAAGCCTATTGAGATTTTAAGAAACCCCGATACATGTCGTATCGTTTGATTTCGATTATCAGTTGAGTTCACACTGACCGTTGAAAGATGACAAAACGAAATTGTGAAGGGTGTGCAAAATCGGAAATTTTTTGGAAGAATTCTAAATCGTTAACATAGCAATAAAGCTAGGAATGTCTCTGCTATCAATTTCCACGCAACAAGTGGGTGATAATTTTCACTCAACTGCACCAACCCTAGCAACTCATAAGCGTTTGTAAAGTCTATCGCATCATTGCATTATTTAACATTTGCACAGATCAGATTAATGCCAAACGATGAAAGGTTATCTATCTCGATGGCGAGTAACTCATTCATTCGTCAAAACTGAATTTCACTAATACACTCTTGTGTTTGTCATCAGGCGTTTAGGTTTATTTTCTCACATGATTATGAACTTATGAATGTTGGGTGTTCTGAGAAGCGTTTCTTTTTGTTAAAACAAAGACATTCGCATCGTAATCCGGGACATTTTGTGTTGCTGTAATTCTTCGAAGTTCGCGTGTTTATCTTGTACGGCAACTCGTTTTGCGTGTTACCACTGAACCGAATATAATCAACTAACTTTGACTTTGTAGCGAACTTGCTAACTTGAAATGTTTCAATTTCGATTCGGAATGAATTTTACCCCGTGGATTGTATTCATGACTGCGTTGCTATTTAGGTTAATGGCTCACGTATTCGGTTTTGTGTCTAATACATGTATTATTTGGTGGCCTCGTGCTGCATACCCGTAAATCAAAAAAGAAAGTGGGTAGTCGAAGTTGCCTTAATTAAATACTTTTCACGTTTACGTATTAGAATGTGAAGATAATGTAGAATAACCTCAAGCTGCCTAAAATAACACAACCAGTGAAAAGTCTTGAGGCATAAAAAGTAAACAAATTAAGCTAGTTGGAGAGAGAGTCGTTGACCTCACAGGCTGACACTACCCTATTACCCATTTCTGATACTAAACAATCTTGACTACCTTTCATCATCATTATCCTGCCCTTCTCCCAGTCACCTGGGGTCGGCGCAACATGTTTTCTCCTTCCATACTCTTCTATCATATACCATTTCTTCGCTCACTCCCCTCCTACCCATATCGTCTTTCACACAATCCATCCATTTCTTCTTAGGTCTACCTCTTCCTCTAAATCCTTCCACTCTCTTAACAACCTCATTTTCATTCCGTCTCATCACATGTCCATACCATCCCAAACGTGCACTCCTCAGCTTCTCTGTCACAGGTGCCACTTTCAGACTTCCTCTCCTTGACTACCTTTATACACCTTTATATCCAATTTTATTGAGTTTTCGACCTCATAACTCAAGGTGGGTTGGAGGCATTCGCTTTGTGAGAGCTGTGAGCTTCAGTGACCGACTCGACTGCACATTCAGCTAGAGATAAAAATTGTTATTATAAACTGAAAAAGACTTTAAATCATACTCATTCCGTGACCCTTATTAATCAAGCTTGTGAAATCGATCGTCACAATTATTGTCTTTTTTTGGATTCAAATAAATTACAGATCTGAGGATCTCCTAAACCGCATATAATAGGCTTCGCCTCTTCCTCGAAGAATAATGATTACAAAATGAAATACGCCCGCGGCGTCTCAAATTCTTTTAATTGGCTTCGGTAGCGCTGCGGACTGCATCTTTACGAACGCACGTACATATATTTTATTACAAAACAAAATGTAGTTTTCATTTGTTTTCAACGTAATTTAGCCAGTAAATATTTGTTTATGTAATTGGTAAAGGCCACACATTCTTTTCGAAAGTCTTTATTTTTTAATATAAGAGGAAAAGTTTTTGGTCCATTTTTATTTAGATACTTGCATTAAAGAAGGTAACATTTAAAAAATATATAGTCTCAGATCATGTTCGGCCTCCAATTCCCTAAAAAAAAACATTGTCCAAGTTCCTGGTTAGCAACTATCCTTATTCAAAAAGTTTAATTTAATATTTCAGGAACAATATTAGTTTGCTCAAATTTTGATAGAATACTATTTACTAATATTGATTATAAAATATATAAACATCTTTTTTCGAATTTAGATATTCGCATGCATATAATCAATCGTATTTAATAAAAAAAAACGGACAGATAGAGGAAGTAATATGAAGGATATAAGGCTCTTTTTACGTTACGATTATTTCTATCAATCAATCCGTACCGCAATTTTCGTAAAGAAATGATTGGTAAATTGCAATAATTATATTTGCTATTCACGTTTTGTTAGGACTCGTTCTGACTTCGAAAAATAATTTATTACAGTCTTTCTTGCATAAAATTAAAATTGGGAACACATTTACAAACTACTGTTAAGTTAAATTTCACAGATTATTCGACCAAAGCACTGCTACGGACAACAAAGAGAAATGTCCAACAAGTAAAGACAATGAACAAATTGATAAGCTCAAAACAATTTTCAATTAACTCCGTTGAGAGTGTTCGCCGTTTACAAATAACCACCATTTGTCAGAAATACCTATGCAGTTTTTAACGTTCGACGACACCCAGGGTTGCCTGCCGTTTACTTTCAGACCTTATCTTTCATTGGCATTAATTCGAAACTTCGTATCATTTCAGAGAGGAAGCGGGGTCGACAAACCTACACCCGGTACCAAACCCTGGAGCTGGAGAAGGAGTTCCACTTCAACCGGTACCTGACGCGGAGGAGACGGATCGAGATCGCCCACGCGCTCTGCCTCACCGAGAGACAGATCAAGATCTGGTTCCAGAACAGACGCATGAAGTGGAAGAAGGAGAATAAGACCAAAGGCGAGCCCGGTTCTGGTGACGAGCCGGATAACATGAGTCCGCCCACCTCGCCACAGTAAACCTTAGCTTAGTCGGTGCGGTCCAAGTGAACGGTCAAATTGTTTCAGATTCGATGCAGCGATGCACTGACTTGCATTGTTCCCCAGCATTTTGTTTCGTCTTACGTCGAATTTTACGTTCGAATGCTTTGATTAATATCTGAAACGTTCGGTCCGAAGGCCGAAGTTACTAGAACAGTTTAATTTGTATAAATTGTATGTTGGACTTTTCATAATAATTATTACATTATTATAAACTAATACGTAAACTAGTGATTTCGAATAAAGAGTAATGATAGTGTGACGAAGAGATTTTTACGGTTGTTAAGTATAAATTAATTTATAGAGCAATCTCAATACCAATAATTACCAAAAACGCAGTGTTTAATTATTATTACCCTAGTGAACTGCAATGACTCTTTATGTGATTCAATAGCGACTTTTTATATTTTATCAAGAACACGAAATTTTATAATTTTTCTTCTTTGAATTTCTCCATAATATATTTTTTCTTTGTTTATTTTAACACGTGACGTGGTGTTTAGTTTTGACTAGGAAATTAATTTGATTCTATTACTATCCGCAGCAGTCGTATTGTTAATTAAGAATTGAACTAGTGTTTTCTTATCAACAACCACGCCACAACCTAACGAAGCTTTTAAATTATATTTTCTATCTCAAAACCATAATGACCTCTTATATTTAACCATTGATAAGAAGGCAATTAGTATCCATATTGTTATAATTTAATATATTTGATGTTTTATTTCTAATTAAGATTCGAAATACTATTCTGTAAATACACGATAATTTTAGAATTCGTAATGTACAATTGTTTTAGTGTGAATAATATTTCTGAGATTAATTTGTGGGATGAGAGTTTATTTTGTGAATTTTTCTCTTGGAATTTTCCTTTTGAAATTCGGATCTACGAGTTACTTGTAGCGTGGATAGGCCAGTTATACAAGTGCAATGTATACGATTTTTGATGACACATATACGTAATTAATTACTGATAATAAGCGTAATAAGGAATCTATTATAATTGTAAAATGTTACGAGAAGCTTAAATATAGTAAAAAAAATTTGGCGCAAACAAAATTTAATATTATTTAGTATCTCTGGAGATATATCTCTGTCAACGGGGAAATAATCCTATTTTGAAAAAATGAAATATTTTTGAAGTACCCGAATGAAGTAACCGAAATTTTGATCGCTAGTAAGAAAGAGTTACCCTTGCTGTTAGAAATATACAGAGCTAGTGTTGTATGTTTAATTTCCTTTCTGCGAATGTAGGTACGGCGACACAGTATACCAAAGTTATAGAGATAAACTGCTATTCACTGTTTTTTTTTTTTTTGTATAAAATTAAACTTTAAATAGTAACTTCAGGTGTCGAATATTCGATCAATAATGCTTATATAAAAAGGTATTTTTATAAAATCATTACATAAGAAATTACCCGATATACGTAATAATATCGAAACGATAATAGTATTTGTATTTACTCGTAACTTTATAATTTAAAAAACAACTTCAGAGGTGTCAAGGGACACCCGGATGGAACGAAGTTCCTTTCGATTAATTAGTGAAGGAATTGTAATTTTTTTTTAAAGTTATAATAATAAATTACGGCATTATGAAGAAGAAAAAACAATACTATGAACTAAATCACTATTGTTGAAACGCTATTTGATTGGTCAGAATGACGGATCTAAAAAGTGTCGTGACAACTTTTCGTAAGAATTTTTTCCGTCTAGCCCCCTTTCACAACGCGCGATAAGGAACTTCGCTCCAAAAATATTATGAGATCGGAATGGAATTCGAAGGAATTAATTTGTCAGGATTCAAGTTATACGTTTTTTTTGTCGTAACACTGTAAACTATTTGTAAATTATTATTCTTATTATTATAATTTTCTATATAGATTTATGATTAGTGAACATAGAATGCAATGAGCCGGTTTCGTTTTATGAGTAGATTTTTTATTATTTTATTATATTTTGTGCTGTGTTCGTTAAGTAAAATGTAAATTGTAATAATTGTATTATATTGACGACATATTCAATATTTATTTATTGATTGATTGCTTTATTGTTTCGCTTATTTTGATGAATTGGTTCGATCACTATCCACTGTCTGGCTGGAATTACTTTTTTTTTTTTTTATTTTGCTCAAATACATCCGTTTGCGTTGTAAAGTTTCTAGCAATAAGTTAATATGTTTATTTCATATTGTTTATTTATTTAAAACAAATTCATCACCCGGTTCTAATTACGGGAGCTTGCAATATTTAGGAATTCCTCGCCAGATAGGATCTTTAAGCTTGAAATTAATTTGTAAAAGTTTAGTAAAATTTAGATCTTAAATGCGAATATGAAATTAAGTTACAGTTTTAAGATTACACTGGAAGCTGTCCTGAAGTTTTCGAAAGCTCGGTCAGTCAAGTGAAATGTCGGGAACTTTATTTGAGACGATTTTATTTACTACTTACTGTGTCCTATCGATTCAAAATTTATAAAATATTACTATAATTAGTAATTCGGTAAGGTTAGAAGAGACGATATTGTCATAAATATATGAATACATGAAATTAATAAAGCATAATGATTGTAATTCGATATTTTCTTTATAAAAAAATTAACCCAGTCTCTGGAATTAAATACAATTGCTTTACATACTTAAACAAGATCACACAGCCTAATGCATATATAGGCTCAGTACACACCCACACACATACACATAGATAAAACGTTACATGTAACTGAGGCTTTGAATATTTAATTCATTCGTCTTTTAAATACGATATCGACCTTCACCGCCATCTGTTACTGTAACCTGATGTCGTTACATCAATCTTGCCTTTCGTACCTAGACCCCAAAGGTATTCTTTACACGCAGATCGTGGAACAAGATAGCATCATTATAATAAGTTTCCCAAACGACAAAATAATGATTTCGCGTGATAGCCGCCCGGTTCCTTCCGTGTCAGTCACGGGCGATTGGTACCCTCCCTTCCCCGTTACAAATCTCGAAATTACTTCTTTTTTTTTTCGGTTTCAACACAACGTTATTTATACGGCTAGGTGTGGCTGCGGCCTAATGTGTTTTTAATAATCCCTCGCATCCAATGAGCGCTAAAGGCGAATCATTATTCTCCGGCGCAAGGTGAACTAATGCGATTTTGACAAGTTCGGAATTGAGGCAATTATGGTTTTGCAGAGTTTTAAATGGCCGTGTATTTGTCTGCTAGGTGATTTAGTAATGGTATAGGCGCACCGGAAGTAATTTCCCTATTTCGACTTTTGTTCGAATTCTAACACAATTCTACACAGGCAAGGTCGTTCTTTTTTAGGCTTAATAATTTTAATATTTAAACAGCACACAAATTATGTTTTATCGTTTCATAGCGACGGATGTCAACAATCATTGTTCAGTCTATTAAAAAACCATTTCTATTTGATCTCTATTTGCATTCATTCGATGGCCTACGAAAGTCCACGCACATATGGACCGACAAATCTCTCATACGTTTGATAAGTGTTATTTATGAGGTCCGTCAGTCAATGTGCCATTGCACTTGAAACGGAATATAGATTCGAGTTCACGGTCGTGCCAGAATAAACGTCATATGTGTATATTTGCGACAATTGATTGAGGAATCACTATGAACATTGTGTGCGATTTGTTTTCATTTTTGCTGTCTCGTAAGTGTATAGTACTTTATATTCGCCTTACTCAAGTTACTAAGTTTTTTTCTCTTCATATAGATAATAAAATGAGATGATTTTTATATACATATTTTTTTCTGGGTTGCTATTATTTAAAATATCCAATGTTCTCATATTCGCTCTTATTGGAATACTCTAAAACTGTTTTAATTTCGTAAAATGACATTGACTTATGAAGATTGTGGCTAAAAAGGTAAAAATGTTTGTATGCCATAAGATTGGAAGCTTCGATACTGTCCCAAGATGAAGACATAAATCATAAACGATTTTTCTCTTGCGACCTTGTCTCATAATGTTCATTTTATTGACTGCAATAAACCAAACCAATGGTTAAATCAACGCCACTGTATCGATATAAACACCTCATAAATATCTTCCGTCATTGTCGTTCATATCACATAATGTAATAGTTCGAGCAAGATGGCGAGAGCGACTCTTCATTTAGCTGTTACTGGAAATAGTTTATGAACGAAGCTTTTGTGTCATGGTTTATGATATTGTTCTGTATATCTCAGAGAATAAGGTTGAAATTTGTCTATGTTCGTAATTTTATAGCTTTTAAATGGGTTCTTAAATCGCAATGAGAATGATTTGTTTGACTCGAGTGCGATGAGCCATTGTGTGAACTTATTTAATTTATGACAAAATCAAGAAATTATTGACACGAATAATACAGACTTTGTTCATTTCATTTCCAAATGCATTTTATGAGTTTTTTAGAAGATATTTTAATTATGAAAATTTTATGTCTGCTTTAAGTTCGATCAATTTTATTCACCGTTAATCATGTTAATTTGTTATTCAAAGATAATGATTGCTTTGTCGTTAAGTTTTGGCAAATTTTTTTTAGTTTGTTTACGGCCACTGGTTACTCGATCTTTTAATCCATCTCAATTTTTGTAATAGCCTCACATAATTATCGTTAGTAAAACGGCAAAAATATACAGAAGCTTTAATAGACTTTTTAAAGAATGCGAGTAGCTATGCCTACGGTTTTTTACCTCCATAATCTAATTGAAAAAACAGATCACTCAAGTTCTCACGAAAAACTATAATACTATTAATGTCCATCATAAAATTTTGTATAATTTTTAAGGGAAAATTGTGTTTCTTTTAACACAAACATCAATTTACTCATTACGTATTAATTAACCTACCCTTTAATTTTTATTTACGTCATAAAAAATATATAAAAATTTACTTCGAATTTCAATATTTGTAGTGACTTACATTGTATATCTATTTTATTCCGAGTAGCAAAATAATTTGCTATCTTAAATTACGTATGTTACGTTAATATATCAAAAAATGTGTTAAAAATTTATTAAGTCAGGTCAACTTTAAGTGAAGCGCAGCTAATTTATTTCTTTTAGTAATTTTTGTCCACCTGACTGACGACTTTTAGTAGAGATTTTCGTAGCGAAACGATCATTTTCCCTTTTTTTATATTATTTTAATGTGTAGATAACAAAGCAATCTTACTCTTGTTTTTGAAAAATCGTTGTAAATACCCTTTGTGATATATAATTTTCATTAATTTCAAAAGCTCTTAGAAAGAAGAGAAAGAATATTATTATTTACTGTGTATTCGTTTTTCTGTAAAAAAATATGAAACCATTTTATAATGAATGCAAAGTTTTTAAAATATTGTAAAATTCAAATTTGGCGCGTAAAAGCCGCCATTTTGTTTGGGGCGGCGTCTGAAATCGGCCCGCCCGCGGCACACCCTTGCCCAGTCACTCGGACGCAGCCCAACTAATTTATCAAAATGTACACAGTGCCGCGCAGGTTTTGATCTATTCCCACACTCCAAATAATTATTGTGGATCATTTACTTGAAGCAATACTAAGATACAAAAAATTCCTTATGAGCGCGAGTATGTAATCTTAGTTTACCTGTTTGTAAATTATCAATTGTCTTTAGGCACTAACGTTTGAAATCACTACTGTTATGCTTTGAAATCTGATTTCTTGTTGAATTACATGTAAAATTTCGTAAAATTCTATATCTTTTGAGTTACATATAATTTTACCCTCGCGATCAAATATTAACGACGTTTAAAAGTACTTTTCAGTTGTTGAGTCAAGCGAAATTTATTACGTAAATATGAAGATAATAAAAATAATTAACAGAATAGGAGCAAAACTTGTCGCCGCTGGATACACTTGTTCCGTTAAGTTCGAAGCTGACGTCGACAGAACTACTGTCGTACTCTTTCCGTGTACGGAAAGCGATATACACCTGTTCCTATTAATTAAATTTTCTGATAGTTTCGTCCTCAAATACAACGGTTTCCTCCAGGGAGGTGTTACGTCACGTAGGTGTATACTTAGTTCTGTGTATGGTTTTGAATTTTTTAAGCCTCGGTACAAATGCGAAAATACAACATCTGCTGTCGTTGATGGTATTGTAAAATTCTTATTGTGTAGTAAAATCCTTGTATGCTGCATAAAACATTTATAATAAATGTTTTTAGTCATCTATCTCACTCGAGTTTTAAGAAATAATACAGCTATAGGCAGTATATACAAAATGCGAGTATAATAAAATCGTAATACACATATTCTTGCTCGATTCCTTTTTTCATAAATATTTAGATATTCAAATCAAGAAACGGTTATACTTCGGTTCTCTTTTTGTTTCCTGTCGTACGTTCCATGGAAGCTGTCTGGAGTTTTTTTCTAGAAAAATCCTTCATATCCTTTACATCATCGCAGCGGTCGTCACGCAAGCAGATTTTGTCCATACGGTCTGGAGCCGCTGCGTTCACCCACAGTACGTTTTCAGATATCTCTTCACCCACATACCATCCAGCTTTGGAATGAACATCCCTCCCAAATGTTCCTCAA